TGAACTGGCTTCATCACTCTTTTCTCCTCCCCACTAATAGCTGGTGTGTGGTGAGCGTACTGGCGCACTACGGCTGCCATCGCATCATCCAGGTGGGGCTGCACACTGGTGGGGGTGGAGGGGAGTCCCCATGACCTGGAAAGAGCTTTGAGTGGAGTGTCCAGAAAAGCGCTATACAAGTATATAAGTGCAAGGAATATTTATTATTATTTGCTCTAACAGAAGACTCCCTTTCCCTTTTGCTGCTCACTGACAAGCTGCTTTACAGTCCCCAGAGCTGATGGGGTGAAAGCTGGGCCGTTCCCGCTACTTTGAACAGGATGGATTGCTCTAATGGAACGTGCTGTTCAGGGTTATTCTGGGAGGACGGTGCATACTGTATGTTCTCCCAAGACTGGTGCTCCCTTGCAGTTTTGCCAGCTGCTATGGAAACTATAAAGGTTTAGTGTCACCTTGAGGACACACAACGACCCCTCCGTGAATCTCGCACAGCCCTTCTGCCAGCAGTCTCTTGGCCAATTCTGTATCACCCTGTTGTCCTTACACTGCGGCGCCCAGCGGCGTGCTCTGGGAAACACGACACTGTAAAGGGCTCCTGGACAGTAACACACTCTAGAAGAAGGTTTTCTGTCTGCTGACATTTTAAAATGAAGAAAAGGGGTTAGGGGTTAATGCTTCCCTTGAGGTATTTACCAGGAGGTATTCCAGCCCTGTTTAACTGGTTCAGGTTGTTTCCTTTAAGCCTTTGTCTGAGCCTGGTTCTTCAGGACAATGCCACGAAGTGCAGAGGTATTCAAAACTGAAATACCACGTAGACAGGCAAAATTATACTGTAGTCCTGCAGCACATCATAAAAACAAATTCTGCACGATCAATCATCGTTACATGTGTTCTGCGTGGTTTAGTGGAGTTGACTGTGTAAATAGTTTACGTATAATCTTTTGAGAGTCATAAGTATAATGGCTTCAAATATGTGTGGTGTTGTATCAAAATATAGTAGCTGATGCAATTTCAATTTTCTTGTTTCATTTCCTACTTGGTCAATGGACCGTGATGTGTATTCTGTACGGTGTCTTAACTTTCCTATTCAGGTTTATTGATGCAGTATATGAACTGTTCAAGCTCCGATAGGTTCTCGAGATGCACTTCCCCAGGATGACCAGAATATAATCGATGAAGAAGCAAATGAATTATGTTAATACATCTGGGACGCAATCATTTCTTGTGCTCACATTGGGACTACTGTAATGTATCGTAACATACAGTATGTGAAGCTCGTGTCTAATGCTTCTTTTTTGGGTTTGCTAGTATTTTCATGGAAACCCTGCAAATACTGCTGCTCGTCGGTCAAGTCCTCTTCTCCCTGGCGGCCGTCCTGCTGGTCTGCGTGCTGACCAAGACCTATGTCATCGGGCCCTTTTACAGAAAGCTGCACGCAGAGTGCAAGGGGAACAAGGAGATCCTCGTTCTGGGAGTGTCTGCCTTCATTTTCCTGATGCTGTCGGTACGGTGTGTTTGTGCTCCATTCCTTCAGATAGTGCATGATGGGATAACGGCCGTTTTGTTTTCATGCATTAAATTATGGGGACTGTGGCTCATCGTCAGATGTGTGTGCACAGTTGAAAGCAGAACAGGTAGTCGAAGCCTTTAAATAGGCTTGGTAATTGTCCTGTATGATAAGATTTACAATGTCTTGCAATTATACCAGAAATACAGAAACTTTGTGGCCATTTTATTAAGTGGAAATGCGCCAGTTTTTTGTTACCTGAGTTCCTATTCAAGTTTATTGTCATAAACATTTCCTCACATGGCAAATTGCAGAAAAGACGTCATAACGTTGGCATAGAAAATGACGTAACAGATGACATCACAGTCCTTGGAGACAGGAACAGGGTAGCAGCTATCCTTTTTAACCAGCTTTTAGACCGCAGCAGTGCGCAAAATTCACGTGGTGGAGGTATTTTGAGGTCAGTGCGATAACGGAAGGGAGCAGGTGGGAAAAGGAGGATTCGAGAGGTGGGGTTCAGGAGTCTTATGGCCGTGGGGTAGTGAGGTAGATGCTTTCTTTGAACCTAGAGGTTCAGGCTCTTAAACTCTTAAGTCTCCTGCCAGAAGGAAGACAAGAGAAAAAGTGCATTCCCAGGGAGATTTTGTTTCTGGGTGATATGGTTCGCCATTCTGAGGCAGCGTGTGGTGAAGATGATCTGGACGCAAGGGAGTTCTGTACCAGTGCTGGTCTCCGCGGTCTCCACCACCTTCTGTAGTGGTTGACAGTCCTGAGCCGAACACGAGAGGAGCTGGCTAGGGTTAGTATTCCTCTGGCTGGTGGGCTGTGCATCTGTGGATATTTTTGTAAATCTTTATCAGGAGGTGCGGATGTGAGGCACTTGAGGAGGAAGAAGGATAGCTCTAAAGGTCGTTTTTTGGTCCGGCAGGTGACGGATTTCCTGGATGTGTCCATGGAACTGGGCTGCTTCTTAGCCGGAGCGCTCTTCTCATCGCAGGGTCACCTCCTGACCACGGAGGTCATGTCCTGTATCGAGCCCATCCGCGATTTCCTCGCCATCATTTTCTTTGCGTCCATCGGTGAGCATGGCGGTTCTCGCCGTTGATAATGATATTGACCAGTATTGATAAAAATTGGCTATTGATAGATACCATGGCGCTTCCACCGGTTCTGCAGCCTTCCTCCCAGCACTCCTCCCTGAGCGCTTGTCTTTTTTTGCAGGTCTGCATGTGTTCCCCACGTTCGTGCTCTATGAGCTCACAATCCTGCTGATTCTCACCTTCTCCCTGGTGGTAATGAAGGTAAATTCCACTCTGCTAAATTAACCTTTTATACTTATTAACTCGTGGACTTATTTCTGTTAACATCCTTTTCTGCGTACTGTTGTCTTCAGCTCGGCGCCAAACATCTTTTGTACTGGCCTTTGTCACCTGTGTCACGCACCCTCCTCCCTCCCTGTATGTCACCTCTGTTTTCACACAGCCTGTTAGTTACTGGCAGCTGTATTCGATGCCCGAGACCGGCAGCTTTTCCAGGTGATCCCCTGAATCAGTCAGTCAGTGAATGGGTTGTGAGAGGTTTTGTCTGCCGCTGTTTCAGTAGAACTGCCACCCTCCTACTTAATCCCCTGGCTTTCACAGTTCTCTGCTGTGTATTAGTTTAGCAACAGTAGTGGAATATTTGGAGAAAATCAAACTTTTTAACTGTAGCGTGGTAAAGTCATACAGGGACACGCTAGGAAATTATTTTGACACACCTTCTGAAATTTACGGTGAATAAGCGCCAGTTTTCAATTTGCTGGCTTTGGTATAACAGCCCCTGAATACAAACTAAACAGCAAGCTAAAAGTACATATAAATATTCAGTTGTAATGGCTTGATGTGTTTCCAGTTTTTTTCTTTGGCATAAATAAGTCTGAAGTCTTTTCAATTCCAGATTTCAGTAATAAGCTCGGTTCTCAGTTTATAGGAGTCATCGAGTCATGTTGAGTTTCATTATATTTGTTAGAATAAGAAAAGGTAATGACACAGGGGGACATGTAGCCCATCCAGCCGGTTTGGAAGCTAGGAGCCAGTTGATCCTAGGATCCCATCCAGCTGTTTCTTGAAAGAATCCTGGTTATCAGTTCAAATGTATGGCTGGGTAGCATGTTTTAGACTGCTACAATCCTCTTGTGTTGCTATAATAAATATGTACAGCGCCTTTAGACAGTCAAAACACCCTTTCCAAAGTAACACTTTTTGTGGCCTGAGTCTGAAATCAAGACAGATTAAATCAGAAGTTATTTTATCCTTATTTACACGTTGTAGCACATGCCCTTCATGTGAAAAACAAATGCTCAAACAATCTGAAAAGTAACTACAAATTACATGGAAATCAAAAACCATCTGTTTTACCACTTCTAGTGATTTTGATGATTTTAGAATAAAATCAGCTGTTCCTGTAGGTCTTCTCTGCTGGGAAGTGCATCTCAAAGTAAAGAGTCAACTGTAGGCCACAAGAAGCTATCGAAAGACCTTTGGGATTAAGCCGAGGGAAGACACAGAGCAGGAGGTGGACCTACAGTATAAAGATTTCAGAAGCCTTCAAAGATATGGTCAAGAATATTATCAAGAAGTGGAAGGTTCATGGCACCACCAAGACCCTTCCTAGACCAGACCAACAGTGCATATTTCCAAGCAAGAAGGAGATTACGGCAGGGGTTACGAAGAGGCCAATGGCGACTTTGAAAGAGCTGCAGGATTTTATGGCCACGACTGATCAACACTATCACAAGCACTCCACTGGTCCGGCCTGTATGACAGGGTGACATGAAGGAAGACATTACTGAAAAAAAGGCATCAAAGCACTTTAGTGAAACTGCAAACGTGGCAAAAGGTTTTGTGTGACAAAACAACAAATTGAACATTTTGGCCAAAGTGAGAAGTATTACGTGTGGTGCAAACCTACCACAGCACATCACCCAAAGAACACCATCCCATCAGCACCTGTGAAGCATGGCGGTGGCAGCTTGACGTCAGTGGGATGTTTCTCATTGACAGAGACCGAGGCACTTGTCGGGATAGGAGGGGAAATTAATGGAGCAAAGTACAGAAAAGTCCTTGAGGAAAACCTGCTGCAAGAAAGCTGAGACGGGAAACGAACTTCATCTTTCGGCGTGACAAAGACAAGGAACTTCGTCTTTCAGCGTGACAAAGACTCAAAGCACTCAGCCAAGCAACGATTTGAAAATCTGGGGAACGAATTGAAGGTTGCCGTCCATCAACAGTGGCCTTGCAATTTGACTGAGCTTGAACAGTTTTCTACGGGGGAAGTCCAGCCAATTCCAGGTGTCCTATGTTGGTACGGACCTAACCAACCAGAAAAATGACTGTGATTCAAGCAAAAGGCACTTACACCAAGTATGAACTCAAGAGGGGATACTCTTGTCCAGCCCAATTTTCTGGGTTTTCATTTGCTTGTCATTTGTTGTGTTCATTCCGTAATTACTTTTCTGTAATTGTACTGAAGAAAGTACCCTTTTCCTTTTCTTAATTAACTTTTCAGAAAACACTTTTCTGAAATTACTTTTCAGAATGCGTCAGCATTTGTTTCTCACTTGGAGGTTGTGTGCTACCATGTGTAAATACATGTAAAGTAAATTCAAATTTTAATGTGTTTTGATTTCAGGCTATTAGGCCACAAGATGTATTACTCTGGAAGGGGGGTGTAGACTTACTGTAGGCTCTGTACAGTATGTTGTATGGTAGCATATTAAGAGCCAGGAATCGCTTGCAGGTTATGCTGTAGGCTACGTCTTTGTTCTGTTTCACTGCGGTCTTTCATGTTGGTAGCCGCTCATATCTGAAACTTTTCCATCCCAAACTTCTGGCGAATGAAGTTCCTGTGAGAGGTCTAGGTACAGCAGCTGCCCTTTTCTTAAAAGACATAAACATGAGAACTCAGGCACAGTGTCCAATTTTAGATCCACCGGCTCTTCAGCAGTTGGAAAGCAAGGCTGGGATTAGATATAAAGTGCAGAGTGTTACTGGACAGACAGGAAGCAAAGTTTTGGCTGCCGGATGATATGTCTGTATTTCTTCTCCTGAAATTGTTCCACATAGCTTGGCAGCAACAGACACTTTAAAAGTAAGGCATTTGAAACAGATAAAGTGTTTTGGGGAATTGTATAGAAAGACTTCTGAAGCAGTGTATGGCACAGTGATGCAGTGGTCAGCACTGCTGCCTTGCAGAGCTGGGGCCCTGGGTTCAATTCCAGACCTACCTGGAGGACTATCTGTGTGGAGTTTGTATGTTCTCCCTGTGTTCACATGGGTTTCCTCCAGGTGCTCCAGTTTCCTCCCAGAGTCCAAAAACATACTATTAGGTTAATTGACTTCTGTTACAATTCTCCCTAGGTGTGACTATGTGCATGTTTGTGTTCAAGTCTGTGTGTGCCCCACAATGCACTGGTATCCCATCCAGGGTGTATTTCCTGCTCAGCACGAATTGCTCGCTGGCAAAGGCTCACTAAAATGGATTTAGAGGTTAGAAAATGTATGGATGGATATACGGACTCCTTTGTGCAGTCAAATCAGTGTGAACCTCTGCAGAAAGCGCCTGCTTTGTGATGAAGAGGGATAAGCAAATTTGATGGGGGGTTTTTCCCCATAACTAGTTAGTGAATAAGTTATTAGCCAAGTTTCCTTCAATAACATTTCACTTTAGCAGTAACTTCTCTGGGTGAAGGTGGCATTTAATTTGTGTTTCTTGCTGTCTCTGGAATAACATTTGTTTCTCCAGCCTGGAGTGCTGCAAGTGACGAGAATAACAAGATTTTTTATGTTTGTTTGTAGGGCATCAGAGGTATGTGTAGGTGGCTTCCTGAAGCTTAGCTTTCTAAGATAACCCCTACAGGATGCTTTTTTTGTTTTCTGAGGACCTCTTAAAGGAACCAGTCTTTCAAAACCTCAGAAGTGGGTCATCCTGACTCCTGGCTGCTTCTGAATTAGATTATTAGATTGGATTAAAAGAGATCCTTCTTGTTCTAAGCACCACCAAAGAAACCCTTTTAAACACTTAGCTTTTGTTTTTCAAAACCGCAAAACATGTAACAGTAAATTTGAAATGAATTGTGTCCCAGCACCTAGTCCCAGTGCCGGAACATGCAGTGTTATCGCAGATTTGGTGAGTTCTCCAGAGCCATGAGGATTAGATACGAGTACTCGTGCCGGTCAGCTCTTTGCGGTGCTTCACCGTGTGTTTGTGTGCTTCACAGTTCATCATCGCTGTGCTGGTGCTCTCCATGATCCTGCCCCAGGGTAGCCAGCATATCAAATGGATTGTGTCCGCGGGACTGGCCCAAGTCAGTGAGTTCTCCTTTGTGCTGGGGAGCCGAGCGCGGAGGACTGGTATCATCTCCAGAGAGGTGCGTTTTCTACGACGTCTCGCGACCACTCGCTGTGGCTCGGCCAGCTCCTGCTCACCCACAGAGTGTAGGCCATTGCTGGGCACACAGTAAGACATGGCGACTCTGTCAGTCGCCACTCCAAAGGCCAGTCATCCTAATGCTCAGTGTAACAGCACTTTATTTATTTGTGATTTGTAATTGACATATTTAACCATATGAATTTATGATGCACAATTTTCATCAAAAATGTGTGTTTTGAGCTTTGGAGCAGAAGGGATTCTTTTTCCTGTCATGTGCTTTGCTTTTATCGCCCATGACATGTTATCATGTAGCTAGAAAGCCTGCAGCTGACGGAGAGAGGAAGCCCGTGCAATAAGGGCTATTTTAGAAGTGCAGATATTTACAACAAAAAAATGATCAACATTCGAAAAGGCATCCTATGATGTTGCATAATGTGCTATGCCTCTTGCAACTTCCTTCCTTTGTGTTACATTGCTGGTACTGGTATCTAGACAAGTGGAGATAGAAGCCTTTATTCGAAATGAACGACACTGGGCACTGCAATAGTGATTAAAGGAGATAAAAGCACTTAAGTGATTCTTTTTATTCATGCATCTTTATTATTTGTTTTTCTAATTGTGATGTAAGGGAGTGCTCTTTGCCAGTATCAATGGGTTGCATATTTTTTAAAAAAATGTTCCGTGTCGGAGCATTACAAAATTAACCTCTTTATGTGCCCAAATCCTGTTTTTAATATTTTGCTCACCAGGGCGTGACCAACAACAGAAGCACCGATAACTGCACAAAACAGAAAAGGGAATGCAAACAAAACACAGGGCGCCGATCAGGCACTCCGATTTGACTAATTCTGAAAAGGGGGACGGTATACTGCAACATACACTGCATTTATTGTCTTATGCAAATAGGTCTGTCGCCTGTATCAGCCCTGCCTAAAGGATATTTTACAGAAACCGGGCAGGCCCTGCCAGCAGTGTTGGTTTGCATTCTTTTCAGAAAACCCTGGAGTTCCAGGTAATGGCTAAGCCCACTGTAGAAGGTACTCTGGTGGCTGACGCACGGAGAGGGAGGAGAGCTTGAAAGAGGGGAGGAAGGTGGTGCTTTGTTTTTGCCTTCCTTGCATTCTGTGACGGCGCTCTTGCATGCTGCAGGTGTACCTCCTCATTCTGAGTGTGACCACCCTGAGCCTGCTGCTGGCGCCCGTGCTGTGGAAAGCCGCTACGCTGAAGTGTGTCCCCAGAGCGGAGCGCTGGACGAGCACCTAACTGTCACGCCTCTCCTCCCCGCCGCTTCGGATCTGGGGCCGGTGCCGGGTCTGGCTAGAATTCCGTTTCCCAATCATCGTTTTCATTGGGTTGGGCCGGTCGCCGTGACAACACGACGCTGTATTTCATCAGACACTTAACGTCCTGAATGTATAAGCGGGAGACCCTGCAGTTTTGACTGCCTTGGCCAAAGGAGCGGTCACTTGAGTGTGAAAAACAGCGTGACGAGAGCGTTTTGATCAGTAATTTTTTGTACAATGTCCAAGGCGAAACATTTGTGGTTCCTGGGAGTGATCATCCTGGGTAAAGCATGACTTTTTAACAAAAAGTCTTGTCAGTTCAAAACTGATTTAATATAAACACCGTGTCCTGAACAGTCGGGAATATGTGTACATATAATTTGCTCTTATTTGGTCTGTCTTTAAATTATTTTGACCTACAAGTGTTTGATGTTCCCTGCTTCACCTAGAAAAGTCTGTAATTTTGAAAAGAAAAGAAAACAATAGAGAAATATAATAAGGCTGTAAAGGAACTCGAGAGCAATGAAGAGGGGCCACTTGCTAAAGAAGAAACATCTGTCACAACGTGGACTGAAGATCCATTGTTGTCTGTCATGCATGATACGTCCATGTTCACACATGGAGGGCCTTCAGCTGGTTGAACAAAAGCAGAAGGCAGGATGCACCAGCTTGTATGTAAATATTGGCTCTTTTAGAGCTCTGATATAGCTTGCTTATTATGTTTGACCTAACTTGTCTGAGCAGGTGCTTCCTGTAGGATGTTTTTAATGTGAAACATTATCTGAACCAGTATAGGAGAGCTAATTTGGGGCTTACAATGTTTGTGATTTGTAGGGTTGTGTCAGTGCAAAGGTCTATATTTTTGTATGTCATGCCTTATACCTGCTGGCATGAAAAATAGTTCTTGAAATTCCTAATCCTAGCCACAGAGCATGCAGGCCAAATCAGTTGTTAATGTTGGTTGCATTACTGACATTCCAATGCTGCTGATGACACTGTTTTGAAATAATTTGTCTTGAAAGATTGCTCAGGTTCAAGACCTACTCTTTTTAAAAAGCATCTTAGCAGCAATTTCACATTAAACTTTATTTTTTTAATACTGTCAGAATTCCTTAATTCAGGCTGCAAATCAGGCAGTTTAATTTAGGTTTAAACCGTTAATTGGTTTGATGTCCTCTATCTTCCATTAGATCAAAAGACAACAGCTAAATTAGGAAGAAAAACAATAGATCTTCGATCAAAATTGCACGCTTCTTTTACCGAATGCTTGTATTAGAGTAATATTTATTTTATTCTATTTTCAAAAGAGTGGACCCTTTCCAAATTATGAATGGCATAAATTATTGGATTAAAGACATGGTCTGCACTGTTCCAAGGCTGTCTTTGATTGAAGTTATCTGTCTAAACCTTTTTGTGTTGTCTGAGCCCTTATGGTCTGAATCCTTCAGTTTCAGAAAAAATGTAAAAAAAGTGCCTTAAAATACATTCCACATCTCCCTTGTGTTACCTCGCCATACACTGCATGGATGTCACGGTACCTTTAATATGCTTGCACCTACGTACTTCTTAGTCCTTAAACTTCATCAGCATACTGTAAGGGGGTTCTTAATTCTTTGACATGGGTTTTCTGGCCTGTGCTCAGTATGAAGTAAAACTGGCCAATTGACCAGTTTTCCGCTTGCTTATGTCTAAAAGGTTTGTGTCTGTTTTCCAGATGCTTTAAGTATCCGTTACAAAATCTGGACTTTCTGCGTTAGTCCAGTGCGGCGCAGGTAATAAGGCATCCATGATAGTCATCCTTCTCATTCTAAGCACAACCAAAGAAACCCTTTTAAACACTTACTGTGGCTTTTGTTTTTCTAAAACACAGAAATGTGTAACAGTAAATTTGAAATGGGTTTTGTTACCAACGGTTGCCTTTTTGCCAATTCTCTTTTACATCCTGTAAATGTAAAGCGCTTTGCTGCTAAGTGTTTACATGGCTTTCTGCTGGGATGCAGATGAGCATGGCTGCTCTTGCTTTGAATGCATACCGGAGGCACTGATGATGCTTTGCTTTGCAATGCTTTGGCAGTCAGCTTGGGAAGAATTGTGTGATTACAATAAAGGGACCCATTCGGGACCTAGAGCGTTCATGCTCCTCAATAGATTGCACTTGTGAGTTTTAAGAAGGTACAAAAGTTTTATGAAGTTAAATTAAGGTGTCAGGTGTTGTGGTGTTCCAGTCTATATAGTGCATCACATCCTGTGACCATAACACTAATATTTTTGTAAGGGGAATGTTTAAATAACTTTATTCAGAAATGAAATATAACTTTTTTTAAAAACAAAGTGGTAGCAGTGATTATTTTATTCGGATGAATCAGATTTCAAGCACAAGTGTTTTAGGAATCTTTATTTTTTATTGGTTTAGAAAATGGTGTTCAACGATCCAGACTATGTGAATTTATTTTGTTGTCCATCTAATGTAATGTGACTTTTTTCATTCCACGCATATCAATGTGTAAAGTGCTGGGAAGGATTAAAAAAAATAATAATAAAATAACATAACATTGGAATAAATGTGAAGTATCATTGTGATTTGTTAAAGTGCTAAACCACAAAGCTGTGAAAGTACAGAGTGGAATGTATCTTATTTTATTCCATGATGTAGATTACTTTATTAATGACCGACAGAGAATGCTGTTTCCCTGCCAGCATTCCTTGTTAATATTCCAGTTAATCACTGGGATTACTTTAGGAAAAACTGCCCGGTTGCTTTAGCTCAAGGCTTCATTTTAATAAATAACAATAGTTACAGTATTATGCCATCTTATAGAGAATTTAATTACACCACTTCTCATTGTTGAATAATTTCCTATCATATTATTTCCAGACTATCCAGCTCTGTTTAGGTTATTTAATTTAACTCTCAGATGTAATTTACAAACATTCCTAGTGTTTTGAACGGGTATGTTATCCTTGGACACCTCGGGCTACTGTAACATTTACTATGGAAATCGGATACATTTTTTTTACACATCGAAACCCAAAAAAACAAAAGCCAATCCGATCCCACCAGCCACCTCTCCACTACCAGCTCCCCCTCTATCCCATAACCCCCCGCGCCAGGTGCCTCCACCAGAGCGACGGCTTTACCGCCAGCCATTGCGAGAGGGGGAGGCGTGGCCTCCCGCCTCCTCCCGCCGGCGCGATGACGTCGCCCCGTGCGTGCCCAATGGGCGCGCTCGTTTTGTGGACACCGCCAAGATCAGTTTTGTCGGCCGGAGAGCAAGGAGCACAGCGCGCTGGAAGAGGCAGGCTCGAGTTGGGAAACCTGGCGCTGACAGGTTCTAAGAAAACACCGGAGCGCACGGGATAAAAAAAAAACACAATCCGTGGGTGGAATCTCCCGCGCCGCGCCACGCCACGCCACGCCACGCCGGGGCAGGGTTATGAGCCTCGGGTTTTGAGCAAGTAAGTGGCGGACGGACCAGTAACCACCCCCCCCCCATCAAGCGCAGAGCAGAGCGTTTCGTTTTACGCGAGGGAGTAGTTTTGACACAGATGGCTGAGGCGACATTGCAGGCGAGCGCCGGAGGGGTCCGCGAAAGTTGAATCCTTACGCCAGGATTGCACGCATGCGAGCGGGGACGTGGGCGATGCTGGCTTCGCCGTGGCCCCCTGCGTGACGAGGGCTGCAGTCCCGGCTTGGTGTAGCCAAAGGTCTTTTATTCCCCACCACCACCTCCCCTCAATCCTCTTGGTTCTAACGGCAGTGAAAGTCGGTGTGATCCAGGTCCCAGCTGGGTTACTGAAGGGGCGAAACGACCTGGGCTTTTTTTTGTTGTTGTTGTTGTAGCTTTGGGTTTGACGTCCCGTTCCAAGGTAAACACAAACCTCTAGCTTCCTTTGCGGCGGCGACCCCGGCTCTCTGCCTCCCCAAGCACGAGTTATAGCCGTGGTCTGAGATGAGACGGGCGATCGGGACAGAGATGAACTAGCCGCCGTGCCTGCCCTGCACGCTTGAACCCGGGGGAGACGGCCCCCAGGACAGGCGCCGGGACCCCCACGGCTGTGCTGCCGGGTGACATGCCGGAGCCGGGACGGGGGCTCGGAGCAGCGTGCGGCGGCGGCGGCCGTGAGAGGCCAAGATGGCAAAGCGACCATTTTGTCGAGGACGGGCTTTCCGAGAGCACGCAAGGGGCTGCGTTTTGAGTCCTGCGTGTCGGCGGTGTAGCTCGGGGTGGCGTTAATTCTGACAGAATGGCAGACTTGGCCCTTTTTTGTGTGTGTTTTCTTTTCAGTTTGGGGTTTCCTGTTGGGTGTACGGGTTCAGACCACCTCTTCCTCTCCCACTGCCAGCCAGCCAGCGCAGGAGCCGGAGTGCAGCTGAATGACGCCGGGGCAGTTGTAAGTTTGTTGCAGTTGATCGGAGGTGGTCGGTGCCTTTTTGTTTTTGGTGGGGTTGGGGGGGTCGTTTTATTTTCCGATGAGCTGGCGAAATGAATTCGCGTGTGGTGGCACATTGTAGCAATCGGGGCGTGCAAGTTCAGATGTCTTAGATTTTTGCTGTAACCACCTTTTGGTTTTTAAAGAGGACGTGCGTTTCCGCGTAAATACTTTTTTTTTTACCGAAGGTGCAATAGGAGGATTTTCGGGCAGGTTTTAAGTCCCCACCCCCCCCCCCCCATCAAGGGGACACGTACTGTATCGCCGAAGCAGGTTGCAACAGTGGCCGGATTAGTCCGGACTCTCCAGTTTCCAGAAACGCGTAGGCCTCACGTCGCCTGTTTTTCTGAAGTTGGGACAAGCCGGCACGATCCAGCCCAGTGTGTTCACGGCCTGGAAGCGGGCTCCCATTTCGCCCAGAAACGGGTTTTGTTTATTTCCGACGGTGCACCTTTTTGTGTTCACAACGCCCGTGCCCGAAGGAATGGAGATGCTGGAGTGCCGGCCTGCTCGGTGAAAGGGATTCAACTTCTTTGGGGACGGAGGTGGGGGGGTATCTTTGCAAAAAAAAAAAGGGCAAAACAAAATGAACATCGTGCTTCCTGAAAGGGTTCGCGTTTTTCTGCACGGTGCAGGCTCTCGGGTGCTGTGCCCACGCGTTTAAAACGATACTCTCTCAGCTAGGACAGACCAACCGGAGGCCTAGCGCTTGTTGGGGGGGGCCGCTAATGTTATTCAAACGGTCAGGCTGACACCCGGACACGGCTTGCATGTCAATGACAGGGGACTCGTGTCCCTTGTGCGTTAAAATGGACACCACTTTCACCCGGCGAGCACCACCGGCGCTTTGGTGGCAGCTTTGTAGCCGCCTCCTCCTCCTCCTGCTCGTCGTCGTTAAGGAGAGAGTGTGTCTGTTGGGTGGTGTTGACGGTGTTCAGTCTGGCCTAGAGGGGGGTCTCTCGGGGCCCAGCTGTTGAGCTCAGGGGTGGTGGGGGGGGCTCTCAGTGTCTGGTGTTTTTATTAGGCGCCCAGTACCTTTCTGGAGGGGGTCCTGAAGGACAAGGCCAAGAGACACCCTGAGCTTTGATGTTCTTTTTTTTTCCCCTTCCTTTTCCAGCTGAACTAAATGAACACCTCTCGCGGGGAGCTCGAAAGGTAAAGCCTGCAGGAGGGCCGGAGCCCGGTCCGAGTCCGAAACGGCGCCCCACCCACCCCCAACCCCCCACGCAGGCGGGTTAAAACCGGGCTGACTTCTCTCTCTTGCAGGCAGGCCTTCGCAGAACACCCTGAGCCGTTTTCTCTCCCTCCCGAGACGCCAGCGCATCCCTTCTCCCAGGACTCGGTATCATGGCGAAGGATGTGAGTGAGGGGGTGGGGAGGACACTGGCAGGGGCGGGCTGCGCCTCGGCTCTGTGGCCAAGAGGCCTGGGCTCTGTGCTCTGCTGTTGAGACGGCAGGACCTTCTGCCATCGGGTGGGGTGGGAGAGAGAGAGAGAGAGCTCATTCCTCATCCTCACTCTCTGGAGGTTCTCTGTACCCGGAAACATCGAAGCAGAGTGTCCTGGGTCTGTACAGAGCCGGCCCGCATGCGTGCGTTCTCGGTAGGGCTTACTAGTCGTTGACACGACCTCGCCATTATTTTTTCCAATCCCGATTACTTCCCTCCAGGATTTCGGTCGCGTGGAGCACCAGCCGGCCGTTAAACCCTCCACACGCCAGGCCGCGTTTGGCAGTCTCTTCTTGCAGGCTCGTGGCCTGGGTAGCACCCCCAGCGCACGCCTGGGCTCTGCCGAAGATTGTGGGTTTCGTGATGGCAGGCTCGAGCTGCAGTGCAGAAGGGGTTCTTTTGGGTCCATCTCCTGTGATGGCCTTTGTCGGCTGCTTTGTGTCAGTGGTTTACTTGCCTGTGTTGCAAGTCCGCTATGTTTCCCCGAGCAGGCGTGCATGTTAGAAGATATAGTAGCTGGTTTTGTCTTTGCTGCTTAGGTTTTGCCTTTTTGTAAGTGCATTTGTATTCAGCCTTTTATGCCAGTGAGGTCTACAATTTGAAGTAAAAAGTTGAGACTTCTCAGGACTAAACTATTTGAGTAGCAGGTCAAACCGTGTAGGTGAAAGCACTTTAATATTTTTTTAACCACATTGTTCGAGTGCAGTTTTATGCAATGAACAAATCCTCAGCCTTGTTCTTTTTTTCCCCGAGGTCTGCTCTTGTGGGCTTGTCATGATGGATTGTCAGTCTTCACACACGTGTTGAAAATGTATTTAAATCAGACGTTCCCCGATATGATGATAAGGATTTTTTTTTTTCAGGGGGTTTTCTGTCCATTGTTAATGTGGAAGTGCCGTCTGCTTTTGCATAGGCTGTTTGCATATTGTCGCTTGCAGTTGTGCTGGCTGTGCTGTCAGTGCTGTCCATAGGTGATTGGACTATTCTTGACACCAGAAGGGGCTTCTGCAAGGCGCAGCCTTGTCTTTTTTTTTCTCGGCCTCCCATGGCAGGAGCTGCTTCTCACCCTGGTGCCTGACGTGTGGCGCGAGTGCCGTTCCCTGCTGGCCACTCGAATGTGTGGGGGGAGATGATGGGATAACCCCACAGCAGCCTTGCCCTGCAAAGCCCTTCACACACGCGGGTCTTCTGGCACCTGCTTTCCACTTGCTTTTATGTTCGTGTCCCAAGAGCAGCGACCCCTTTTATCACCTCCTTTCGGTGCCTGGGCCCGGTTTCATTCTGAACACTCCTTGGGGAGGTGCCTGGTGCCATGTCCTTGCATTCCGACTAGTTTGCTCCTAAAAAAAAAAAACTCCTGTTGCTTTACAGGAGAACATGATTTGGTTATCTGGTTATTATGGTCTTATTAATGCTGATGGGCACGGTCACCAGCTCTTTGGGTGCTGCATGTTCTCAAACACCCCCTCTCCTTCTGTATTTGCGATCATGTAGTTGTTCAAGCGGAGGTGATTGCATTTTTGATTTCTCCGCACGTGGGAGATCACCATAGGAATGCACATTCCCAGTGCCAAATAACTGGGATATCTTGTTCCGGAGACACTGCGGCCATGGTATCTGACACTGGTAATTACAGTTCAGTTGCTTTTGACATTGAACCACCTGGCAAAATGAGATCCTAATCGGAAAAGAATTAAGAGTCCGGCAGCCGCAAAACTCTCAACCGGCGGTGTGTGTTTAAGGATCGGGATTGCGTTTGTAATTCGGGAAGATTTTTTTGGCTCTCCAAAAAAAAAAAAAGAAACATTTAGCCACGTACTTATTTCTTACTATTAATAAAGGTCATGGGCGGGAAGGCAGAGTAATGCTTTGTGAGTGGCAGCACATTTAAAGATGTGCACCTCAGTGGGCGTCTGTGACTGCTGGAATGAGCAGGGTGCCCTCTTTCAGCGTGGTTTACCAGCCTAGCCTCAGTTGTTGCTCTTGAAGGCAGGGGTATTAAAATTAGCACTGGAGGAACCCGAGTGTTCCTTTGGCTTGGTTTAATCCAGGTCAGTTTCCTCGTTAAGAGGGCCTGGGTGGTTCCAAGGGAATGTGACTCCATAGCAGGCACAGAAGAAGGAGAGAGTGAGGAGGCGGGTGCCATTTTCTTGCCCCCTGCCAGCCGTGTGGGTGAATTGTATTGTGTCACGTTTTCCCAGCATTTTCTTTCTTCATGTTGTAACTTCCGCCTGAAGCTCTTGACGGGTGTAGGCCCTTATTCTGGCAGAGCAGCGTGTCGTCCTGCCCTTGACGATCGATGCGTGTCGGTAAAGAACACAAAACTGGAACTGTGGGGAAAATATGAGGGACAAGTTTTTTGGGGATCTTAAAATAAATGCGCTGTGTTAGCCAGCGCTGCTTGGATGCTTCAGAAATCTCATCTACTAAAGGCGTAACATGGGCTTTGTAAATGGTGATTCAGTGTTCATGTTGCTTCCCCTCCAGACAGATCGGCAGGGCTGCTCTTCTGCACCCAAAAAAATCAAACCTGCTTTGATTTATTTCACAACGACACTCAAGCATGAAAATACATTGCAGAAAAATTCAAAGAGGGTCCCGTGTTTTGGCTGAATAAATGTGGTTTATACAAGGTTGTTATATTATTCCGATGGAAACCCCATATGAGGTTTTTGTTTAGTCTAAATAGCACTTGGAGCAAGTTAGTTGTTATGCCTGTAACGTCCAAAGGTAAAAGGACAGCTCTTCCAATGTACTAGAAATTGTGCATCTAGTTAATCATACTGAAGTATGTAAAACATTTGAATTGGCCTTTCCCGTCTGAGAGAGGTGGGAGTGAAGGATTCTAGACCAGTTCTAGACCGCAGCTCTGCAGCACTTTTTGGGGCGTTTGCATTGACTGTAGCCAAGCAGCACTGAGTGGTGAGCTTTCGATATTTATAGGGGTTTTGCATGGCCCACTCGGCTGTCAGCAAGATATTCTGCAATCCATCCGTTTCCTCAGGTTCCGTTGTAAGTTGAATCAGTTTTGATTTGTCGAACTTCCACATAGGTCAAAACCATGGTATTTTTTTTTTTGCTGATATAGAAGGAAATTATCGACTGCACACATGACTTTAAGCCCTCTTGGGTGAAATTGAGATTTCTTTTTTTGCACAATATTTTTGGGAGCTTCCTTTGCACATCACTTGATATTCTTTCACTGAATTGTGTATCAGGAACACGAGTTTCATTGGCAGTAGATGTCCTCCCTCCTGTGTTGTTCTTCCTACGGGGTACATTGTGTTTAATCTCTTACGGAAATGTTATTAAAGGCAGCATTGCAACACAAAGGTTTAAGCTGCTTTTTAATCTTATAAGTATTTGAGTGAGCAGTTAGCATCTAGTATTTGAGTTAGCTCCTTATTGCTTAGCGTGTCGATTTCAGATTTCATTCCACTCTATGCGTATCTCCGGGTTGGAACAACATTTTGGCGTGAGAACCTTTGCTGCTTAGGTTGTGCTTCTTGAGTGTTTTTTGTTCATTACACTGTATTTAGAGATGGGCGTTTTACTCATCCTTCTCTTTTCCACAACACCATTGGGCATGTGGGATAGTGTTGACCATGTCAGTTGCTAGTTGCATTTTAATTCCTCATTTTTCCAAAAGGGGGAAAGGCAGATTACATGTTATTAATGCCTTTCTGTATTTAAGTCGCTCTGCTCATTTTAAGGGAGTCTAGTTTTGTATATCCACCCACAGAGAATATGGTATTTTTATAAGATCACTTTATTAGCCATATACAATTTCTTGCAGTAGGAATTTGTCTTTTCGTATACCCCAGCTTGCTCTCCATGAGACACACAGACAGGGAGAGAAGCTTGGGGTCAGAGCGCAGGGTCAGCCATTTATACGGCACCCCTGGAGCAGTTAGGGTTAAGGGCCTGGCTCAGGGGCCCAATGGAGTAGGATTCCTCTGCTGGCTGCGGGATACAAACCGGCAACCTTCCAGCCTCAGGCGCAGATCCTTAGCCACAGGGCCACCGCTCCGGCCACTAGCTTAGAGGAAAAACTCAAACTTTCAAAGCTGTCAAGTGGTAATATTGTGGCAGTAGTTTCTTCTGAGTGCAGTTCCACGACCTCAAAGCACACGATACACCGAGGAGGTGAAACAGAAGTGAGTCCAGCAAACAGACTTCATTACATCAGGAATATAGTCGAGGGATCTGGAAGCCCTGAGACTTGAAGCAAGCCCTCCGGTCAGCGGCATGCAGTTTCAAACCTGCGTACAAGCAGAGAGAGTCTCTGCTCCTGGCCAGAGTCCTTCACGACTCCTCTGTGCGTCACGATCTGTATCTCCTGTTTTGCAGGACAGCTTTATTGGCCCCGAAAACGGGGGGGGGTGAAAAAGCCACTTGCCCGTTAGTTTTCCCCCAACTTCGAATAAGTACCCCCTGGAGCCGTAGCATCATAAGCCTTCTACATAGAGTACGCTGAAGTAGCACAATTCGGTTGCCATGATTAGTAGCAATTCAGTTGTCATTTTGTTCTTCTCTTCTGCTTTCTGTTGTCAATGAGCAGCGCTGTCTTACGAGCACTGAGGGGAAACGGTGAAGCGCAGGTAGCCGCTCTGGGCCTCACGGCGGGGCTGAAATTGGTAAAGCCACTGCCTGGGGCCCAGGCCGGGCTGGCGGATGGCGGGTTCGAGCCCGGGTCGTGCCAGCGTCTGGCCGTGACCGGGATTCTCTGAACGGTGGCGCACCATAGGCTGAGCGTCTCCTAGAGCGAGCGTTTGCTCTCAGGAGGGCAGCGCTCTCTCAGGTGACGGGTAACTCCTGCGCCTGCCCCGGTGCCGGCAGGCCGGTGGGTAATTCTGTTGGAGGGTGCGCCTCTACATCAGTCGGCGCTGAACCTCCTCGCTCGGTGATTTGCTACTGATGTGTAACAAGACCGGTGGCTATAAGCACTCTTCTTCATTTTCTCATGCGCTCAGTTTCAGGGGGCACAGCTGTGAGCCCCATAACAAAATAGTAATTCTGTAGATGCCGACTTTTATTATTGTAGCTGCGTTTTTTTTTCTCCTGTTAGGCTCCGTTGAAAACCCATTGCTCTTTTTCTTTTCTTAGGCTGGCCTAATTGAAGCAAATGGAGAGTTGAAGGTTTTCATTGACCAAAATCTCAGTCCGAGTAAAGGTAGGTAAATGCCATTATACAATGACTGGGGAGTGTTGCTAGCCTTACCCAATTATCATACAGTAAATCAGTGTCGCAGTAAGGTTAAGCCTGTAGTTTAGTATCAGTGATTTTTAATAAGACATACAAAATACATCTTTGCGGAACAGTTTCTGTAAATTGATCATTTTTTAAACTTACACTTTAATTTGTATACTATAGAAAATTATTTTGCTCTTGTTGCCATAAGAGGTTAGTGATCATTCAGTATTCATGTGGCATCTTGTTGGAGGAATCTGGACTTGTTCTGTCTTGGTGCCATCAAATGCAGACATAAGCCTTTTGTCAGAGCAGTACAAGGCTTTTCTGTAGGACGGAGACGTGCTACGTACAAAGGCCAGTCTAGAATATTTTTGATTTCTTCATGAATTCCAGAGTTGACTTGGCTGTTTGGTATGGTGCATTCCGTATCATGCTGGAAGATCCACCTTCTGTAGCTCCGCCTATGATTGGATGCATCACTGTGCTTAATAGTGTTTTTGTTACAAGACTGCGTTCATTCTCGGTTCATGCATATCTCCAGTCCTTGTACTGCTAAAACCAGTATGTCATGTTTAAATCATGTTTGACTGTCAGCACAGTGTTCTCTTTGTTGAAGCTCCCTTTCATTCTTGGAGAAAAGGTTGTTTTAGTCCTATTGGACCACACAGCATTGAGGAAGGATACTTAAGATTCCTGTTGATATTACTTGGCAAACTGGGTATTGCTTTGTTTCATGCTTACATTTAAAAAAAAAATGGTTTAAATGCAAATAGCTCTTCTCTGTTCAAATGTCTTTGGTTAGTTCTTTGTTGAGCTGGCTAGAATTCATGGGTTGGTTCTAGTTGCACAGATGATGCTCGCTGTACTAAAAGTCTCAGGATGTCCTCCTTGCAAGCTGTTCAGCTGAATCTGTTGGATAGTTGATCATCGCTCTGTGGTTTGCGATGCTTCGGTTTCATTAATAGTACCATGTGGACAATCCCTTCTGGAAATCTGCTGCGAATGCACTTCTCAAGTGTGGATCCTGCTCCTTTATCTTGACGCTGCAGTGCCGGTTCTCACAACAGCACTCATTGTATTTATATTCACACCAGCAGGGACACAGTATTGGAAATCATTGAGGCAACAGAAAAGTGTGTGTGTGTGTATAATGCAGATTAACCGAATGGATACAAAGCAAGCACAGTCCATTAATGTAACATGCAAAAATAATATCCAGGGCCGCTTCGCTCGTTTTCATGCTCCCGTTCCTTTAATTTCGGCCCACGAAAGGCTGTTCCGAATCACCCGGCGCTTTCCGTGTTTATTCCACGTTGGTCATAGGTCAGTGTTTGTGCCGGTGTGCCCCTGGAAGAAACATCCGCTCGCTGCTCTGCAGGCGGGTCCGCTCACACGCCGTCTCTGCCGGGACGTCGCCCGGAGCATTTCCTCTCCCGGTTTGGGGTTGGCTCTCTCCGCCACATCCCTCGTCGGCACACGAGTCGAACACGCCCCCGTTAGGCCCTTGCACGTGGCACTGGGCGAGACCCGAAGACGGGCTGAGACCCGTCAGGTGGGATTGGCCTTCTGCTCCGACGCTCGTGTTGCTGCTCTTAACCTGGGCGGTTTCCTTCCCAGTGTCCTCATGTCCACCACTCCAGTCACTGCCTGTGCTGCTTCATCTCGGAGTATGAATCGCCACTTGAACACTTCCGTATTGTAGGCAGCATTGAATTTTAACACAAAGTATATTATCCCCTGGATCATTGTGCATTATATATATCCCCTTTTGTTTTCCCGTTATTATGCATTTGTATATTACTGCACTGAAATTCATTTACATATACTGTATATCGGTGGAAATTGAGAAATATATTCAGATTTATGTATCCCTTAAAACATCGGCAGGCATGTACAATACATACACATCGTGTTTTTGTCTTTTTCTGTTCAGATTAGGGATTAGGGTTGCGTTGCCCTTTTTGGTAGATTTGAGTTGGGTATGTTTGTAATTTCTAAAATGTGCTACTCTTTGAGCTTTCATCAATGCAGTTGACTTGCTTTTGCAGTTGTGTTTGTTACTCCGTCTGCGAGATCTCTCTGCCCTTTTTTTTTTGTTCATCTTTCAGGCATAGCCTCCTACATAGAGCAAAAAGCCTGACATTAAATAGGTTAATAAATCACTTTTAAAGTCTCGCTGGCGTTTGTCCTTTAGCATACCTGCCAGACAAAAGTAATGCCCAAGTACGACCGGAGTGTGTAGCAGTTTACATAACCAGTTCAGGCTGACCAGTCATTCACTGGTTTCATTGGCCTTGACCCGAATCTTTTAGAGTGACCGGTGTTTCGTGCTTTCAAAACCTTGTTTTGGTCTTAAAGGGTCAATTTTTTCAGAAGGGGTTTTACATTCCATTTTGTTTGAAGATTGTAGTCTCTTAAGTTATTATCATTTGTTTATTGTTATTTTTTACCCAGACAGACTTGGAATTCCTAAATGGCAAAGCAGCCTGTTGGTGGTGCTAGTGTCACTAGGTGGCATAGCTGCCTTGTTCTGTGGCTGGGTTTTGCTGGCAGATGTAAGCAAACACAGAGGGAGGTGCTCACTCGCCACGTCAGTCAGGCGTTGGCCTTTCCTTGGTCTGAGGATTTTAACATGTTAAAGTCAGCTGCCATTATTTTTTATCTAAACACTGCTTTGCTCCGTGGAGGTCATTTAGTTTGATATCTTGGCTGTTCCGTGCTCTGTTCTTAGAGTTACACTGTTCTGTCCTTGAAAGCCTTTCTTGCCCAGCCGGGTGAACTGCACTGAGACCTAGCAGGGGGCGTTGGGCACCAACTAACCTTGGGTGGGGCTCATTTCTAGCTATGCTTTGTTGCTGCATGCACTGTGGCTCTCTGGATATCTGAGTATGCATGCGCATTCCTGCCCTTTAAACAAAACAAAACGGGCACCCAAATTCCGTTGCCGATTATATTCTGGCCTCTTCCTTGTAGCTGTACCCACCGTCCGGCCCACAGCTTTCATTCCAAGTGCAGTGTTTGATTGTAGTACTCATTTCAGCGCGTCCAGAACTGCTTGCTGAGGAAAAAAAGTCAAAATGTACAGTTTCCTAAGATCTAGGATAGCCCGAAGGGACTGTTCCACTAGATAAACCTTTACCCTGACTGATGCTGGGTTATCATAAGTCTTTTTTGTGTACGTTTGTGCGGATTCTAGGTCAGCCGGTGCCAATTCCAAGCCTGGTAATCCACAGTCATCTTTTCTGGTAGTCTTGCTTCCTGTTATTTTGAGTCTTGGAAACCCCAGCGTCGAGATCAGCATATGAACTACAGTGCTGTGGAAAAGTATCTGATGTGATTTCCTCTATTGTTGCGTATTTGTCACACTGGATGTTTTTAGATCTTTAGACAAAATCTAATATTAGATGAAGGGAACCTGAGTGAACAAACAAGACTTTATTCTTATAATTATTATTTCATTTATTTAATAAACGCAGTTATCCGACACCCATATCCCCTGTGTGGAAAAGTAATTGCCCCTTTACACTGATTGCGCCACCTTTAGCTGTAACGGCTGCAATCAAACACTTCCTATAATTCAATATCCGTCTTTCACATCGCTGTGAAGGATTTTTAGCCCAGTCTTCCTCGCAGAACTGCTTTTAATCAGAAGCATTGGTAGGTTTTTGAGCATGAACTGCTCGTTTCAGGTCCTGCCACAGCATCTCTGTTGGGTTAAGCTTTGGATTTTGACTAGGCCACTCCAAAACTTTACATTTGCTTCTTTTCAGCTATTCTGATTTGAATGTGGACTTGCTTTTGTGTTTTGGATCATTGTCTCGCTGCATGACCCAACTACGCTTCAGTTTCAGCTTACGGACGGGTGACTGGGCATTCTCCTTAAGAATTTTGTGATACAGAGCAGGGTTCATGGTTCCTTCGATTATGGCAAGTTGTCCAGGTTCTGAGTCAGCAAAGCATCCCCACTCCATCACCCTGCCACCACTGTGTTTTTCTGTTGCTATGACGTTCTTACTGTGGAATGCTGTGCTTGCTTTCCGCCAGACATAATGGGACCCATGTCGTCCAAAAAAAATCCTCTTTTGACTCATCTGTCCATAGAACATTCTCCCAAAAGAACCATCCAGGTGCTTGGGGACCATCCAGGTGCTTCTTGGCAAATGAGAGATGAGCATTTGTTCTTCTTGGTTAGCAGTGGTTTCTGCCTTGCTACTCTCCCATGAAGCCCATTTTTTGCCCAGTCTCTTTCTGATTGTGGAGTCATGAACGCTGACCTTAGCTGAGGCAAGAGAAGCCTGAAGTTCTTTGGATGTTTTTTTAGGATCCTTTGTGACTTTCTGGATGATTTTACACTGCGCCCTTGGAGACATTTTGGCAGGCCGGCCACTCCTGGGAAGATTCACTACTGTTCCAAGTGCTCTCATTTAGAGATTGTCTCTCACTGTGGTTGGGTGGAGTCCCAGAGCCTTAGAAATGGCTTTGTAACCCTTTCCAGACCAGATATCAACAACCTTTTTTGTGATCCCTTCAGGAATTTCCTTTTGATTGTGGCATAATGTGCTTGTTGAATCTTTGTGCTGGCAACTTGACTGATGGTAAGGGTCAAAATACAGTATGTGAGCTTTATATTGAGCAGGGCCAGCTGTAACCAAGCCTGGCTGTGTTCAATCAGCTGACTCTAATTATCCCTTTAATCGGTTTGAGGTATAACGCACTGATTGCAGTGAGGTTGGAAAGTCATTGATGGCTCGTAGAGGAATCTTTAGTGTTCCGCATAAGTGTGGTTCTGAAGGGGGAACTTAAATTGTGGTCACCTCTCATCGAGTATTTGTCAGTGGAGCTAACAGAATTGTTGCTTAAGGGTCAGTGTTTGTTGAAGTGAATCCCTTGGGGTGTTCCACACACTGAGGCAGGAGCGGAGTATTGCTGGATTTGGAGTGGAGACAGGGTGGAGGGAGCTAGAGAGCTGGACGGGACTCGAAGGCTGGAGATGTGTTTTTATACCAATATCTTTATGATATTGTGTACAGTCTCCTTTCGTGGTGGGCTATTTTTTTTGTTCACTTACTCTTATTTCTCTTTAATGGTGGCTTGTGAATGTTGTTGAAAAGTAATAAAAGTGAGGAGGGGGGAGGAAACTCACCGACGTCTCATCTTTACGAGCTTGATTCCTTTTCCACCCCCCAGGTGTGGTGTCGCTGGTGGCTGTTCATCCCTCCACGGTCACCATGGGGAAGCAGCTCTTGCCGAAGACGCTTGGGCCCTCCAACGTCAACATCACACCGCACATGGTAGGCGCCCGGGCCGCCGGCACGCTAGCTTTCGGGACGGCCATCTTCAGTGGCTGTGGTACCGTTGCTAGGGTAGGAAGGAACTACTTTGAGATCCTTATAAGTCTCCGAAACCAAGGTGGTAGGGAGCGAATGTCTCATTTATAGTGTAAACGAGCCGCCCACTATGGGAGATGTCTCAACTGATTAAGCATCGTGAGCGATTCGTTTTTTTTATTGAACAGTTTTTGGTTTTCGTTGCCATACCCTCCTGGTCCGAAGTCGCCAATCGTTTCCTTGCGCCTTGGCGCCCCGAAACGGCACCCGTCCTGCACGGGCAGAGTGAGGGTGAGCTGGCAAGGCCGAGTCTTGGGACCTTCTGAAAACACAGCGAGGCGTGTCGTCGTCAGTGAGAGAAGCAGCACATCCCTCAGGCAGCCGGTTGCAGTCTGACAGGCTGGAGAGATCTGGCCAGCTGATCTCCACCGTGCGCTAGGAAGCACTCTGCCAGGCTGGACCTCATGCCCTCTGGACCATATAGGCTTTAGTCTGCACTCGGAGCAAGTTTGTCCCTGTTAAATCATTAATTTTGAAGTAAATCCTTCCGTGTCATTACCTGGGTTGTGCTTTACCACAAATGTTATCAGGGCGTGTGGCGTTTTAAAATGCCTTTTCACCGATGTTTTTGTTCATCGTGTGACGTCTTATCGAACACCCAGTCGAGGAACTTATAATGGTAATACGAATCCCAGAGTTTAGAGATCACCTTTCAGCTCCAAATTAAAAGAAACAAAATACCGCTCCGTGTGCACATGCTGTTCCCCGTCTCCACACCTATCATGTTAGGGCTGCCCCTCATCTGCTGAGTTTACTGCTGTGGTAGGCCCTGAACACTTGCTGACTCGCTTCTCTGACACACCTCCAACTCCAGAGGTTTCTCCTGGGGTCCCACGGAGTAAGAGAAGTCAACATTCCAATTCATGCAGTTCCAAAAACCTGTTGGAGGCTTCCAGTGTATCACAGCAGCACTTTAAGTGAGACCAGTTTAACGTTCTGCAGGTCACCCCTAGATGACCAGTCGTCATTAACTGGTCGGCAGTTTCATGCCAGTAAATCCCAGTTCAGACGGTCAGGAGCCCTTTGCCGATTTCTCTTGGAGCCCACGGAAAGGGCTCCCGGAGTCCGGCCAGATGGCAGAAGCTGGCATCGCCAGCAGCAGGCAGGCACCTGTCTTGTCCTTGTGGAGTCTCAAGCTGAGGAACCCCTGCTGGGCCCCAGTCCTCCCCAACCTGACGAGCGCTCGATTTAAAGGTTTCGCCTGCAATTCGGGAATCCTGCCTCAATCGGAGTCGCAGCATGATGACGGCGTGAACCGGCAGCGTGAGCTGCAGGGCTCGGCGTGCGTGTCGGCCCACTCGGCGCTCGTGTCTTTCCCATCGGAGCTGTAGGAGAGCTTTGTGGTAGTGGAAGACCTCAGCTTGGGGAAGCTAAATTCTCTCATTGCTCTTGCGACATATAACAGTAAAAGCTTCATTGTCATTTGTAAAATTCTGTTTTCCAAAAAGTATTTTTGGTCTTCCCTGTTTTCCCTCATGCAATTATCCATTTGTTTCTGAATTACGTGCTTTTGTTTTAACCATATACGATTACAATATGCAATTGGTATTTGAATTCTTCTCTAATCATTTCTGTAGGTAATGTCAAATTCCACCGACATGCTTGATGGGAAAGATTTATTTCCTCTGTTCTTTTCCTCAACTTCATAACTGTTGTCCAGTATGCATGTCCTCCTCCTGAACTTTGATTAACCTTAACTAGGATTTTCTGCCCTCAAAACCTTGACCTGCACTCCACCTGCATTTCCATGGTCCAAGACCTTTTCCTTCTTATGAACACTAAGCTAATTGCTTAGCAATATGTCAGTTCTGCGGTTAAATATGCTGTCTTTTAGGAAGTGTGCATTCTGAGATTGCCAAGGCACTGGACACACTGCTAAGGTACCCTGCAGTAATAAGTCTAAAGGTGTTTAATGATAATGCCTCCATTAACATTGGCTGAGGTGACCTGGGCTTTAAGCTGATAAAGGAAATCTTCCTGTCAGCACCGAGTAATGGGGTCAGAGTAAATACCAGCATCATCCAATTAATGTGCTAATGTGTTCTTGAGTGAAATAAGAATCTACTAAGATCCCTCAACTGCAAAACCTTAGGTGCACAGCTTATTCCCCTAATTTAAAAATAATTCAGAATTACGTAACAGGATTTAAGGGATTTGCATCTGAAGGGATTTCCTTTTGTATTTTTAATTCATCCCAATGGTTCGACCAAAGCACTCGTAGTAAAATCCCCTTGGCATTCTAAAACTTTCTTTCCGAGATACTTGGGGTTTGATTCTGAACAAACCGTGAGGCCCGACATGCGCGTGTTCCCTCACGAAGTGCCGTCGGAGAGCCCCATGAACCCAGGTGTTCTCGCAGGCGGTCCTTTCGCCGTCGTCCCACGGCGTCTGCGCGGAAACTGAGCAGAGGTGCCGTTTCTCCCCCAGGTGATCAGTACCCCGCAGCGACCCGCGGGTACGAACGCCATCCTGGTGGGCAGCTCCAACACGCCCGGCGGCCAGTTCCTGACGCAGAGCCAGGCGGGCGACGCCTTGCCGTGGCCCACGGGGTGAGTGAGGCGGGGGCGGCACCCCGGGATGCAATTCGGGGGGGGCCTTGTGTTGTCCTTGCCAGCCTTTAGAGGGCCGCAGAGCCACCGCCCCGCCCCAAAAGCGCTGGTCAGAAGTGGGATTCGAACCCACGCTTCCATTCGGAGACCAGAACACCCATTGCGATACACCCATATATTGTGTCCCTCCTACGCATTAAAAATTAATTTGCCCCCGATCTCGTCTTCATAGGTCAGCTTCTTATGTAGGGAGCATGACGAGTGGCGGGAAGGACATTGTGATTTCACAAAACGGGAAACTCCCTCTGCCGTGTTGTCATCCTTCGGATCAGATTTCGGAGAGATTGGATGCGCCCTCCCCAAATTTTGCACAAATCCGAAACCATCTCATGCGGTTTACTTTTGATGGGACAGCAACGGCTACTGGGACAGAAACTGTTCTCGGCTGCCTGATATTTATTGATTTAATGTTTGTGTAGGACCAGTGCAAGCATGGGTTCTTAAAACCTGATCTTGAATTCTGTTTTAATGCTTTTTTTTAAAAAAAAGGCTAATTTAAATTGAGATTTCGACGGCAAACTCTGAAAGTGGAGAGCAATGCCCTGTTGCAAAGCTTCTTAACAAAAACACTTTAAGAATTAGTTCGACGCATCCTTAACTTGTATACATGCCTGTTTTTAGAGAGTGTTGTTAGAGCGCAGCAGAAAACGGATTGTAACCCCTGATCTCCGGCCTCTCTGTTCGCTCTCTGGGTCTGTTCAGGAAGCGGAGTAAGAAAGGCGAGAAGAACGGCAAAGGGCTCAGGCACTTCTCCATGAAAGTGTGCGAGAAGGTCCAAAGGAAAGGAACCACGACCTACAACGAGGTGGCGGATGAGCTCGTGGCCGAGTTCAGCAACACCGACAGCCACATTTCACCCAGCGACTCGGTGAGTGCTGCCGTCGCGGTACCGGAGAGCTGTGGAGATGTCTCGGGTGCAGGTTTCGTTTTCATCCAGGTTGTTGGCTGGACGGGCTAGTTGGCGTCTGCTGGGGAAAAACCTGATCAGAAATGCTTAACATTGACAGCCCCGTTTCAGACACTGTGCGCTCAGGCTTTTGTGTTGTAAGGCATAGAGCTACATGTTTCCTGATGATTCAAAATGTCTGTTAAATGTTTTTAACAAGGGGTGACTTGTTCAAGACGGGTTGCATATTGCATTGAATTATTATTTTGTAAAACTCAAATGCCTTAGATCCAATCTTGTATTGGTAATGTGCATCACTAAAATTATTTTTAGTGGAACTTTTTCACAGTGGATGTCAAGATGTTTGAAAGTGCTGTGTTTTTAGGATCATACCTATTAAATCTGTAGATTGGGTGCCATTTCTGTGAGGCTGAAATTCTCGATTCTGTCATGGCAGCATGTCTATGACCAGAAGAACATTAGACGCAGAGTCTATGATGCCTTAAACGTGCTGATGGCAATGAACATCATCTCCAAGGAGAAGAAGGAAATCAAATGGATAGGACTTCCCACCAACTCAGCTCAGGAATGTCAGAATTTAGAGGTATGAATGCAGCAGAGCAGGTGAGAATAACCTGCATTTTATTTTCCAGCTGTATTGTTTTTCATTTTTGCTGTACAAAGATCTGTCCTTGATCTGCTCCTTTGTAGGGTGTTATAGATCTGGTATATAGCCTTTATTTAAAGATGACATTCTTCTGGAGCTTGGTCTATTTGGCAAGTTTAAATACTAAGCTTGAAAAATGTATAATTCTGTGCATGTTTCTGAAAAATACAGGTATAAGATATCGATTCAAGATTTCTTTATTTGCCATATACAAATATATGGCAATATATATAAATACAAAATACAATATATACAAGTGTTTGGAATGCTTACTTGTTCAGCTGTACCCAGTAACATTGGAAGGAAAAATATATGCACAAATGACAAACAGACATGGACAATAGGCATGATAAAATAGCCAAGACAGGACATAGTGCAAACAGTGCAGTACCTTAAAGTGCAGGTGCTCATTTGAGCCATTTCAGATGTGGACTGATTAGTCATTTTTGGTGTCATGGATTAGTCATTAAGGTTAATGCTCGAGTGACTTTGGTTTTATAAACACTAACTTCAGTATAGAACAAATGAAGTGATTTAACTTTTTTTATGTCAAGTCTTGAAAATCAAATAAGCACAGAAAGGAAAAAATATCAAGTTCTGGAGTGATCGAGGACGGAAATTAACCTCAAGACACCTCCAAAATCGGGGCTTCATCTTTGTGATGGTTTTTTTACACATCTAGTTTGACTGCCTCAGAAACGTTAGGTCCCAAGCATTAATTAGTAGCCGACAGACTGCACAGCGCTGCGTTGATCGAGTCATGAGACCTCTCTTGCTGCCCTCCCTGCAGGCTTACCCTGCAATTCCACAAGGATAGTGTGCTCAGGCTGCTCGCGGAATGTTATTCTTATGAGATGAGAATCTGGATGACCAGTTCGCCAGATTTAAACCCCATTGAACATCTGTGGGGTGGGCTAAGACACTGTGCATTATTTAGGGATCGGAGACTATGAAAAGAGTAGACCTGCATGTCCAGTCTCTGCAAAAATCCAACCAAAACCTATCCAGAACAACATCTGCAACTTTGTGAAAAGCAAGTGAGTTGTGCCGCATGTATTGATTTTAGCAGCGGCCACACAACCTACTAGCCTCACCGACTTATCCCGTTTATGCCAGAATGTTAATCGGCATCATGAGTTTTGCTTGGTCAACAAGTTGTGCCTTCCACAAAAAATCTTCGAGGAAATTTTGTGAACGTTGTCGTAAGTGACATGTCGTTTGATGCACCGTGTATTCTTCACCGAAAGAGGAATGTCAGACGCATCTCAGCTTGAGAAAACATGTTCCTTACTGACAAATGCTACAGCCAAATATTGTCGCTTCGGAGAAGTGCAGTATCCTGCAGGTTCACTTTGTGGGTTGGGTATGGGTTTATGGGTCGAAAAATCACTAAGGCTGTGTGAGTGACAGAGGTGCCCGTCGACTTGGCGTATAAAAGTCATCTTGTTTTTTCAGGTGGAGAGACAAAGGAGGCTTGAAAGGATAAAGCAGAAGCAATCCCAACTGCAAGAGCTCATTTTACAGGTAAGCAGAAATGAGCGCGGCGGCTGTCTGTGGAAGTAATTAAAATCTGATCCGTTCCTTAAGTGGTTATTTCAGTGAAAACATTTCTGGGTATACCCTGTTAAATGTGTACTTACCAGAAAGGACTTGAAATCCGTCTCGAGTTACTATGCTTCAGCACCACCACTGTGACGGCCCTTGTTTCTTTGCTTGTTACTTCCTGCCGATCTGTAAAATCCATAAAATGCAAAGTCCTTATTTAAAATGGCTTTTCCAAATCCAGCACTGTTGCAGTGGTGATTTCGTAAGTCAGTCCAGCGTTGGGAACAGTTTCACACTGTCCGGGTTGGTCATTCAGTGTGTCTGGCCTGGCTCTCTGCGGTAGCTTGAGTTTGCTTCATGAGCTGACATGTTGGTTTCTGTGGAGGAAATTGTGTACTTGGGTATTGTTTCATTGGAGTAGTTTTTGGTAATCCAGTGCATTGCTTACAGCATGTGTCAACATTGTACACATGGGCGTTCTGGCTGCCTTCTCTGGAAATATGTAATTACACTGTGTGTTGTGAAAATGATCATCAGAAAATCTGTGCTAAGCACATTTCAAATGGTACAAGTGAAGGAGCTGCATCAGCATGCGTAGCCTGCAAAGCAACAGGTAAAGGTCTATTCCACGCTGAAAGGAAAACAAAAGACAACACTTTAGCTGTGGAGCCTTCTTCGGTAGCATAATGTGCACACCTGAAGGTGACTTCACAGCCGAAACATTGGAAACGCCAGAACGGAATAAATCTTTACCTGTTCCTTTTAAGTAGCACACATGGCTTGGGAAAAGGAACCCCTTTAATGTGGTTTTGTTTTCTGTGTTTGTAGTTCTTGTTCTCTGGTGTGAGGAGGTGAGGCTGTTAAAATGCCTCCGTTTCACTTTGTCGAACCAATTCCCATTTTCTCCTGATCCTTCCTGGCAAGGGACGATGCCATCTGTCGAAAGCAGAGACTGGCACGGTGGATCTCAGGGCACGTTTGGCTCTTGCCCGGGAGTCTTAAGTATGGCGACGGCAAGAAGGTTTGCCTGCCTTCCTTACTTCCCGTGGTCACATGGGTCTCCTGCCACGACTGGGAACCTCAGTGGCTTCTTTGTAATGTTCAGCAGAACATAACCAGAAACAAACGTTTCTAAACCCACATTGCAAGGTTCTAAAGAACTAAGTGTGGTATATTGGCAGGGGCTTGGCGCATTGTAGAAAGGGCGGAAATGAGATGTACTGATTAGTCCTCAATTGAGCGATATTAGGTTGTGAGCGTCTTGAGTTTTTCCATGTACTTGTAGTGGGAGGAGGTTTGTGACCTCCGATTGCTGCAGCTGATTTAACGGGCCTTTAGACCTGAGCGGTGTGGTATTTTACCATTTTCCCATGATTTTCTTTTTTAAAACATTAGGCCTCCACCAAACATCAGTGGGCATCTACTGAAATTCTGCACTACCTTTTAGTGTTTCTGCTCAGTAAGGGAGCCAAATAGATCAATACTTGATCTATTTATTTTCCTGCTCAATCGGATACAGGGATGGTATTTCAAGGCTGTATTACCTACCACTTGGCACAGTGTTCCCTTGTGAGGTCAGCTCTAACATGGCTGATACACGTAAAAAGACAGATGATCAACATGTTGTGACACATCTTTGGTATCCAGTAGCCTACAGCGATGATTCATTTCCCTTCAGTGTCTTCCTATTTTTATTGTCAAGTAGAATGCAGAAGAGATTCACTGGCATCAGGATGGAGAATCACTGGCATAAAAGTAGCTGCATTAGCCTTGTTCCTCTCCTTCTAAATACAATCACTTTTCACTGCATAAAAACCTTTGCCTGTTTTTAATGTTAAGACTATTTAAACGCTTTCACATGTCTGTGTAAAATCTTATTTTATTCTTTATTTTGTTGTAATATTGATCATTTGTGCTTTATGCATGTCTAATTTGCTAGTCTTTGTGGTGTCTGTTAAAAGAAAAATGGGGAAAATACACCAATAGAGTATATAAATGCAAATGTTTTTTAAAGAGCCACGGGAATAGCAGTCCTGCACCTTACAGTGGGCTATCACAATGCTGGCACTATTAAGATTGGGAAAGGGAGTTAACATTCGTGTCCATTTGCTCAAAGTGAATCTCAAAATAGGCAATATACAGAAGAGAAATATTCAGTACCTTTATTGGTGTGTTGGAGTAGAAATTCTTAAATTCGTGTTTGTTTGAAGGATGTTTTTTTTCCATCTTTCCATCATGTGACTGCTTGTCCTCCTCGCAGCAGAACAGGTTGGGGGAGCAGAATAGGAGGCATACAGCCCTCTCGGTTTCACTCACCCCACGCCTTTTCCTCTTCCAGCAAATTGCCTTTAAAAACCTCGTCCAGAGAAACCGCCAGGCGGAGCAGCAGATGAGCAGGCCCCCTCCCCCAAACTCGCTCATACGCCTGCCGTTCATCATCGTCAACACCAGCAAGAACACGGTCATCGACTGCAGCATCTCTAGTGACAAGTAGGCACTGCGCTAGCTCCGGGGCTGCTCGGGTGTCAGGTCTGACAAGACTGTTAACGGTCTCCCTAACAGTGACTCGAGTAACGCTCCCTGACTCAAGAGGAGGCCATGTGCTTGTCTGGCATTTTCTGCTTTCCGTCTTGCTTTCCTGATATGTTGGAGCCTAAAGTCTTGCTGAGCACGTTGGCTCTGTAGTAGATCGAGATGAGGTCAGCCAGACTCTCCCTGATCTCCCGGGCCTCAAGGAAGGTAGCAACTCTTAAATCGGCAGCACCCCATCACAGGAAAACCAATTAACTCTGCTCTAACGAAATACTTCAGTTTTCCTAGAGTGTGACAGTCAGAATGATGTTTCAGTGCGACATCGCTGCTCGAGCTTTTAGGGAGATGTCAAGTAATCTTTCATGTAACTATTCCAGTGCAAACGTGGTTTGGATTTGACCCATAGCAAGAAGAGCAAATGGTTGTTGAACCAAGATCTGGAAAGGGTGAACAAGTGACAGTTGTGTGACTTCGAGCATTTAAATGTAAGCTGTGATGTAAAACTGGTTCAGACAGGTGTATCTGAGCTTTTTTAAAGTGAGGCAGGGATGCATCTAGCTGACCAGTTAGTGCAGCGATTTCTGTTGCTTTATATTATTGATAGTAATAATATAGGGTTGTAGAGGTTCATCTCCTTTTCTCTTCTCCTCCCTTCCCCTTTACAGGTTTGAATACGTGTTTAATTTTGACAACATGTTTGAGATTCACGATGACATCGAGGTGCTGAAGCGGATGGGGATGGCCTACGGTTTGGAGTCGGGGAAATGCTCTCCGGAAGACCTCAAAGCAGCCCAGAGCCTGGTGCCTAAAGCTCTGGAACCATACGTCATAGGTCTGCTTCCCCACTTCTTAGCCATTCGCTGCTCACTCTTTCATTGTCTGTGCCGTTGTTTATAATTCCTATAAGTCTTTTAATACTTTAGTCTTCCGAGGGACTGAAGGCAAGAGGCAAAAGCTAGGCTTGGTTTTGTAGATTTTCAGCGTGAGGCTTCATTTGTTAGAAGTACTTGTACCACAGTGCGTGCATTCAGAGGTGTAACGTCTGTACAGAATAGTAATAGTTCTCAGCAGTGTTTAAAACCTTTCCCTTTTAACTGATTTCCACGCCTGTCTTATACTGTTTGCTAAACATACGCTTATAGCATCAATAAACAGTTTGTTGGTGCAGTGGGACAGACATACAATGATAGAGTGCTGTCGTCGCTGTGCTCTCTAGAAATCGCACATTGGTATGCGTGCAGTGGACTGGAACGGTCCTCAAGGAGCATGCCTGGAGGATTTTCCTGGTTGTGAAGAGCTTCTCTTTTCTCTTGCAGAAATGGCTCAGGGATCAATAAGCAGCGTGTACAGTTCTGTAGGTGTGTCCTCTAACGGTGGCCAGTATCACACTGGCAGGTAGGTGCTCCCTGTGCGCTTTCCGGAGATGTGGCTTTGTAATGTTTCCGACAGTTCTAGATGGCAGTTAACAGACTGTAGAAAGCCAGCAGCTATATCACCCTGCAGCTCACAACTGGCAGCCCTCTGCAGCTCAGTAGGTGTGAGCCTGGTCAGTACCTGGATGGGAGACCTCCTGGGAAACTCTAAGGTTGCTGCTGGGAGAGGTGTTAGTGGGACCAGCTGGGGGCACTCACCCTGCAGTCTGTGTGGGTCCTAATGCCCCAGTATAGGGACTGGGGACACTACACTGTAAAAAGGCGCTGCCCTTCGGATGCGATGTAAAACCGAGCTCCTGACTCTGTCGTCATTAAAAATCCCAGGGCGTTTCTGAAAAACAGGAGGGGTGTTACCCCGGCGTCCTGGCCAAATTTCCAATTGGCCCTTACCAATCATGGCTTCCTCGTAACCCCCATCTCTGAACTGGCTTCATCGTGTTTTCCTCCCCACTGAGAGCTGGTGTTTGGGGAGCGTTCTGGCACACTCTGGCTGCCGTTGCATCATCCAGGTGGGGCTGCACACTGGTGGGGGTGGGGGTGGATCCCCATTACCTGTAAAGCGCTTTGAGTGGAGTGTCCAGAAAAGCGCTATATAAGTATAAGGAGTAATTATTAAAAAAACGTGGAGTAAACCGTATGATTTTGTCCATAAGAATTTGAGTGAGGTTGAAACTGTTTAATGGAGGAATTCCTTTTATAAGCCTTAGATCCACCTGCCGCATGTCTCAGCAGAATTCGCTTTACTCCGAAACCGAGCATGTTGAAATACATGATGTTCTAAACAGAACATGGTGATCAGTCTTTAAATCCGTTTTGTATGGTACCAGCACACTGCAAACTCGCTTATATGTTGGACTTTATATCAGGGTGATATGCTGCTGCCTGCCGAGTCTTATTACATTTGCATGAGTTATGTCATTATCTAGATACTTCATTATGTCTTTTAATACAGCCATAAGACAAACATTGTTTATGAGCCAGTTCCCTTCATATCGGATGCTAGGAACCTATAATAATGTGCAGGGTAGGCCTAGATTTGGTAACCTGAGCACTTTAAAAAGAATTCTGAATTGCTGAACTAGAATGAATCTCTTGAAGGAAGTGCATTTCTTTTAGAGTAGCCAAGTATTTGCATTATTCGCACTCAAATTGCCCGTTGTGTGTTTTGCACATCTTGCCTCTCCACTGTGGCCAGAGCAGCTGCACCCGGGAATGAGGAAGTGTGGGCAGGAGTAATCCATTGTCACTTCCTGTTGTAATGCTTTTATCTAGGGTCCTCATAATCTCCAGAGCTTTCAGTTCTTGCATCTGGTGTTCGACATTCCCTGTAGTTCTGGAATTGTTCAGTGTTCAAAGTGAAGTCGAGTAGATTGTATCACCTTGGTATTACTCCTTGGTTTTGCACGATCACTGGAAGATCCTAGCTATTGATTTATTACTGGGAAAAACATCTGACCCTGATGATTTAAATGCTCTTAATCCTTTTACACTGGAACCTCACTTTTAATACAATAACTCAGACCTCATCACTTTCCTACATCAACTTCAGGCATTGTCTGTTTTTGGTGAGCTCCTGTGTAAATCAAAATAGCCATTTTTAAGCCCATTTACAGTTTCACCATGATCATTTTCTTTGTTTTAAACATTTGGTTTGCTTTGTTTTCAATGTTCCAATAGACGGAAAATGAAAATGCTTGCAGTGGTCTTCAGGGCTTGTTTTAATTTTTGCAGTGAAAGACTGTAAGTGAGTAGAGAAATGCAATATTCGTGCCGGGCTAGGACTCTACAGATGTCCTAGTCGGCTATACAAAGTAAAGAACTGTCAATCAGAAATATTTTTAACGTTTGCATATAATAATATTGGCTGTTTAGTTGTGCTTTTCCAAAGTCTTCTCTAATGCATGGCTCTCAAGTTACTAAGTTTTATCACTTTATAATATTCAACACTTTTATATAACTGCAGTGAATTACACAATGATTAATAATTCAGCTGGAAAACATGGCTGGGGGGGAGGGGGGGGTGAAAATGGTTTTGCGGTTCAGTTTATCGGTAGGGTGGTTCGTCTCCCGTACAGCCCAACACAGATGGGCGTGTGCGACCTGTAACTCGCCCTGTGTATGTGTGTGTGCGCGCAGCGACAGCGGAGCAGACGGGACAATGGCATCCAGCTCGAATGGCTCCCACTACAGTGGCTCCCGGGTGGAGACGCCCGTGTCCTACATGGGAGACGACGACGACGACGAGGACGACTATGACGAGAACGACGACGAAGAGTAACCCCCTCACCACCCACCCACCCGCCAGGTCCCGGCAGCACAGCGGCCGTCGTCAGGAGCACCCCCTCCGCACTGCACTCTCTCCTTCGCCTCCGTCGTTTGCATTTTCGATTATTATTTTTTTATGGGTGGGTTCAGACGTTTGTTCGCCTGAAGACCAGCTGGAAAAGACTGCTGGGCTTTGTTAGCCGGAGCTGCGCAGGCGAGGTCACTCTCCCGCCTTGTATCTTTTTCCTCTGCTTCAGTCGCCTTCGGTTTGGGTCGCGGACAGCCTGCAGATGAGGTGTAATATTAAGGCTCTAGGCACTGTAGCACCGTAGAATGCACTAAGCCCTGTGATGTTACCCTAGAGGGGTATAGCATGGTTATACCTAGGTCAGGTTTTCAAGGAGCAAGCTATTAGGAAACTAGAGGAAGACAGATGTAGTTAGGAGTCATGTGTGGGTTTATTTTTTTTGGATTGTGTTCATTTGAAAATTCTCTTCCTTTGCCATTATTTTCTTTTTTTACTCCCAATTCTTAATTTAAAGACTAAAAAGGGATTGCTTCTAAAATGAATGCAGATCAGGTTTCCCCCCCCCACTCCCGAGACACGTATCAAATTAAGACACACATCCCGGGAAAGCGTTTGCAGGTGAAAAGAGTGGTTGGCTGATTTTGTTATTGTTGCCTCCAAAGATTGATCGGCGAAACCTAAATGTTCACATACCTTAGAACATGTGGCCGTTTTTCTGTGAGGTTTGTTTGGAGCAGCTCCTTCATGTATTAAGTTTTGGTGTATACATTTTGTTTTGTAAAGTCGATTGAACGCCTTTTCCTTTTTCTCTTCCATGTTTTTTTTTTTTGTTTTGTTGACTGCCATTTTCTGGGCAGCTATATTTGCGAATCTGTTCAGTGTTTGGAATGGCTAGGTTTATAGAAGGTGCCTGATTTCTCACAGGCAGAAAATATGAATTTTGTGGTGTTTACATGCATACAAATCTCTCCTTTTAAAACAAATGTACTGACACTTAAGTACCTTTTCATGTAATCTAATATAAGTGTGAAATTAAATATAGAGAATGTTTTAACAGTTTTTTAACTCGTTTCTTTGGAAGATTTTTAAAGTTTTATAAATCAATTGCTGAACAGGTAGTTTCCTTTTTTATATTTATATATATGTGTGTTTATATATATACATATGTGTATATATGTATGTGTGTATATACACCAATTTCTTCACAGCTGCGATAATGAAAACCAGTACTCATGGTCTCTACCAGCTCTTAAGACTCAAGTCTTTTTTTAATAAGACAAATGAACATTTCTGTAATCTGTTGGAGAACAGAGAGACTTAATTGTCTGATCTGTTTAATTTGCCACTGTTAGTTTTATTAATAAACAGAGCATGGGCATTTTTTTTAAGAAAAGGTTTTGTCGTCTTTTCTCAAGTTGTTGTTTCTGCATTGATTCTCTTTTTGAAATTGCAGAACTGCCGCTGGACATTTGATTTTTGTTGCTGCTCCTCGGTTTTTACGCCGCACTTCAACATGCTGTTAGGACTGACCATGACCCAGCAATCGTTCGGCATGCGAGACCGCCGATCTCCGAATGAGTCATCGTGCTTTTTTGTGTTTGTTTTCCTGTAGTCCCATGGGCAGTACTCGGACAGGAAACAGATGTGGAAACTGGAGCGGGACAGTTTCAAGTGACCTGTCAAATAGCCCTGCATGTCTCGGAGGTGGGAGGCCGTGAGACCCCCCAAGCAAAGTACAGGGAGAATGTGCAGCCCCCTCAAGTTGTGCACACTTTCACCTTAAGACAGCAGACTCGAGATGATGCTTGATGGCTGCAGCAAATGTATTGCAAAGAGAGATCAATTTGGAAAATTGTGCTGTTTTGGGGGGCAGGGGGAACCCCAAACCCTTTACCGTTACTGTTAAAAATATTCCTCCACTCCGGCCAGCTGAAAGTGTGACGTGTGAGATTGCAAGGGTGTGTGATGGAGAGGTTGTGGCTTGGAAGGAGCCACAGCTATATGCAAGAAAACTGAGGCTCCCTCTTGAGTTACTTGTAAGACTGCTTTGACTGCTGGCTGCTTAGTCCCATTAAATGGCTCCTGACCCCACACACTGCTGATGAGGGTCTATGGTGCAGGAACCCTACACAGGCACTTTTCCTGTGGGTGGGGAGCTCAGACTTGAGTGTTTTGGTGACCTGTTAACCTTAAGCTGGTTGTAGAAAAGTCACTTGGAAGGTTAGCTGCAAATTCTAAATTGGGCTGAGTTTTGATATGTTTCAGGGGAGTTCTAGTCCGTTTCTATTAATGCGTATTACATTGTCAGGAAAACCAAACCAGGGAAAACAAAAGTAGGAGAAGCTTTCTGGGATCCTGTGCAGAAGACCTATTTAAAAAAGGGGACTGAGGACCTAGTGTAACGAAGTGTGCTACAGCCATATTCATAGTTTTCTTTCACCACATAAGCCTGTTTTTTTATTTGCACCAGTATATAATATCCATCAGTTTATTATATTGTTACAACATTCTGATTATCATCTTAAATGCAGTATAAATACTAGATATATAAAATGAACAGATTGTTTTCTGGGAAAAAAGTGGAAAGTTATGGCAAAGTGGTAACATTGAGAGCCTGCAAATAGCATTCAACCTTAACAGACTATCATACGAATGCTTCTAGATGGTCGCTTTAAAAATGTACACTACCCAAGATTGCTTTGGAATAAAAATTTGTAGCGTGGAATTAATACACTTTAATATATTCACATTTATAGAAGATGCTCTGTTGGTTGTTTATGGAGTTCAAGTGTAGAAAAACCTTAAGATTTTTGACAAACATTTTAGCGAGTTGCTTAAGCTCGCGTACCAGGTGAAGTTATTTTGGTAACGCTTTATTTGAATGTTGCCGCATAATGGCTTCATAATCCCTTCGTAACTGCTACACAAGACCTTGTGCTCACATCCATAATGATTCATAGAGACATGCAAATGAGGTTAATGTGGGCGTTAGAGGTCATGACATGTTTCTAATGTTGTGATCTGTGCAACATCCAAATAGAGTGTTAATTATTTCTCCCCTCTCTCGTTATGTTCCTTTTAACTTATGTTCACGGTATGTTTGATAGCATTTTTTTCCCAAATTAAATTTTAGCCAGTTTACCGAGTTTCTCTACCTACTAGTCTTACTATCTGCGTATAAATTAAAAGTCAGGATGAATGAAATATGCCTCGATTGTCACAGCATTGATTCCTTCAGTCGGAAGCAAAGGGAACGAGCTGTACAATGGGAGGGGTTTCCATTTGGTTTAGACCGTCTGCAGCCTTTGGAAAATGAGACTTTGGATGTATTGGGACAGAATAAGCATAAGGCGATGGGTTTACCAGAGCCTTTCTTCTTAAGAGTTTTAGCCTTCATCTAATTTCAGTTCCTAGCTCTGTGGCCGTGCACAGCACAGCGGC